TGGTGTCCTATCCTGTGTCTTCTTCATAATCTCTGACATAGTTGAGCCCATTGCTGCAGTCATTGTGTCAATACATCTGGTTAAGGGTCTTCTCTCTTTTGGTGACCCTCCACCTTTCCAAGCATGATGTCCCTTTCCAAGGAACAGCAACTTTTAGCAACATGCCCAAAGTATGTGACACAAAGCTTTATCATCTCTATCTCCAAGGAATATTCTGATTGCACCCTCCCAAAGACATATCTGTTTGTTCTTTAGACAGTTTATGGGATGTTCAAACTCTTCTTCAACACCACACTGCAAGGCATCAAATTGTCTTCCATCTTCCTTATTCACCTGTCAGCTCTCAAATGCATAGCAAGTGTTTAAAAAGACCATGGTCTAAATCAGGCACATCATATTCTTTAAACTTACATTACTACTCCTCAATAATTTGCAGAGGTGACCAAATGGAGACTTTCCCAGTACAAAATGTCTCCTAATCCCTTGACTGCTTATACCAAGGATGTTGAAGTAAGATGAAGTTGCTGACAGTTTCAATATTTTCTCTATCTATCATGATGTTCCCTACTGGTCCAATGTTGAGATAATTGTTTTCTTGACATTGAAATGCAATCCATATTGATGGCTGTATTCTTTGATCTTCTGAAGGAAGTGCTTTAAGTTCTCTTCACCTTCAGCAAGCAAGGTTGTGTCATCTGCATAACATAGGCTAGTGATGAGTCTTCTTCTGATTCTGATGCCATATTTTTCTTCATAGAGTCCAGCACCTTGATTCTTTTTATCTGCATACAGGTTGGATATCAAGAAAGGATACAACACAGGTACAAACTTTTCTTAATTTTAAACCATGACCACCTTGCTCTGTTTGCACAACTGATTCTTAGCCTAGGTATAGATTTTTCATGTTGACAATTAAGTGTTTTAGGACTCCCGTTCTTCCCTTGTTAGACATAATTTTTTATGGTCCATACAGTCAAATGCGCACAGTCAATAAAGCACAAATAGACATTCTTCTGGTATTGCTTGCTTTCAGCCAGGATCATCTGACATCAATGATATCCCTAATGCCAAGGCCTTCTAAATCCAGTTTGAATTTCTGATAGTTATCTGTTTATGCACTGTTGTAGCACTTTTTACATGATTTTCAGCAATATTTTGCTCACATGTGCTATTAATGATATTGTTTGATAATTTCCACATTCTGTTGGATCATCCTTCTTTGCAATGGAAACAAAAAATATGGATCTCTTTCAGTCAATCAGCTAGGGAGCTGTCCTCCAAATTTCCTAGCACAGACTGGCGAGCACATCCAAGGCTATATCTGTTAGTTGAAACTTGTCAGTGCCAACTAGCATCCCTTTGATTTCTGGGGCCTAATTTTTATGCCACTACTTTCATTCCAGCTTGAACTTCTTCCTTTATTACCATTGGCTCTTAATCATATGGTACTTTCTGAAATATTTCAGTGTTGGCCAATTCTTTGTAGTACAATAATTTTACATATTTCCTCCATCTTCTTTTGATGCTTCCTGATCATTCAAGATTTTGCCCATGCATTCTCTCAGAATTACAACTCAAGGCTTGAATTTGTTTTTTAGTTCTTTCAACTTGATAAATGCTGAGCAACTTCTTCCCTTTTTATTCACCAATTCCATCATTTTGCATGTTCTATTATAATACTTTGCTTTGCTTCCCATACATCTGGTGCCTGGAATTTTGATGTGAGTCTCCTAAGCAGGGAGACTTACCTGTAAGTATGTTGTACTGGGGAAGCAATCTGCATATTGCTAATTAAAGTTTAAGTATCTATATTCTTGCTTGCTTATCATTTATCTTATTAGTACAGGACTTGTCTGTCAGTTTGATGTACTATGGTAACTTGTGGGTTGTTGTGATGCTGAAAGCTGTGCCACCAGTGTGTCACATGCCAGAAAGTTTACTCATGGTGGACAAGTTTTAACAGAGCTCTCAGTTTAAAACAGAGGAGGAAGCAGAATTGACCATCCTCTTGTTAGATAGCAAACCTATGAAAACCCTATGAATAACAGAGGAATAAGGGTCTTTATAGTATGAAAGGTAAAGCTCAGACTGTAAGTCAATAAATATGAGAAGCAGCTGGAAACATAGTTTAAGAGTCAAAATATGGTATGTGAAAAATTAAATAGAATGCATGAACATTGACATTCTACATTCTAGGAATTAGTGAGGTGAGATGGATAGGCTTTGGCCATTTTGAATCAACCACATGGTATGTGCCAGGAATGAAAAACAGAAGAAAGATGATGTTGTATTCATATGTAAAAAGACAATTTAAGTTCTATCTTGAGGTACAATATTATGAATATTATCCATTTGTACACAAGGAAGTCTGGTAATACTATTATTATTCAAATACACCACTTATAGCTAAAGCCAAAGAAGAAGAAACTGAAGATTTTTACTAAATTTTACAGTCTGAAATTGACCAAACATTCAATCAAGATGCATTAATGATAACTGGTGGCTGGAATACAAAAATAGGAAACAATGAAGAAGGAATGGTTGTTGCAAAGTATGGGCTTAGTGACAGAAATAAGACTGGAAATAGAATGATCGGGTTTAGTACATTCAATAATTTATTCATCACAAATACCTTTTTTAAAAAATAAAAACATCGACTTTACACATAGACATCATATATGGACTGCACAGGAATCACACTGACTACATCTGTGGAAGAAACAAATGGAAAAGTTCAGAATCAGCAGTCTAAACCAGACCAGGGGGGCTGCCTGTAGAAGAAACCATCACTTACTCATGTGAAGAAGTCCAAACTGAGGTTGAAGAAAATGAAAACAAGTCCCTGAAAACAAAAAGATGATCTTGCGTCTTTTCTAGGTGAACTTCAAAATCATTTAAAAATAGCTTTGAAGCATCGAACACCAATGATTGAAGAAAGATGAGCTGACATCAAAGATATCATCCATGAAGAGAGAGGAAAAGGTCATCACAAAGAGAGAAGGAAAAATAACTAAAAAGGATGTTAGAAGAATCTCTGAAGATTGCAATAAAGCATCGAAAAACCAAAACCAAGGAAAGAGTTGCCCCAGTATAAGAGCTGAAAAGGTGATTTCAAAGGGCAGTTCAAGAAGACAGATTACAAAAAGGACCTCTAAAAACAAGTTTGAGAGAGAATAAGCAAAAGGAAAATGAAAGAGAGAGGGGCAAGAAGAGAGAAAGGAACTAAACGGAAATCAGATTCTCTAAGTCTGACATGTCCTAAGAGTTCAATGGGTTTACTTGAAAAAGAGGTTTTTTAGCTTGTGATTGCTTTTCATTTATAATATCCTATCATTCAATTCTAAAATGGAAGACGGAAACTTTGATGCATTATCAAATTGCCATTCTTAGGAAGAATAGTATACCATATATGATTAGCATAATCACACAGTACGAATTCCACTATAATTCCAACTAAGGTAAATGGATTTTTACTTACAAGAAGAATATGCATCTATCTTAGAGAGTTATAAATATGGCAAAGAAATGCTTTCAAGAGAGTGTTAAAGTGCTTTTAAAAAAATCACCTTCAAAGTACTGTAAACAAGAATTCAAACAAAGCCTCTGCCTTGATTCTTTTTGGCCTAGATGTTAAGTCATAACATGCATTGGAAAATCTGATCCGAACATAAATTTACTATAACCACAGCTTAGATACAGTTCCAGAAAAGTCACTTTTTCACAGTAAGTAAAACGAAACCACCAAAACAGACACCAAATTGTGTATGATTACAGACTCACTCCATTAGAAATTATTCTACTGCTTTCACTAGTCTCCTCAAGATAAACAATACACTTGTTTAGAGCTAATTTTTCCTTCTCAGGCATGAGTTTCGAATTCTGTAAATGTTTGGTCCAGATGAGTATATAAATTTAGTTTTTACAATGAGAACTTTCTATAGGTTTCAAAATAAGAAAGCTGTATCATCACTATATGACTAATTAAATCTTAACAGTGTAATCAATTCTACTAGGTTATATTAATTAGAATATGTTATATTAAGCATTCTTTACATTTAATTGCCCTAACACAATGAGATGTTCTATCCATATTTTGTGTAGATTCTAATAACTGTCAATCTAGTTTCATGAGAAAACAGTAAAATTCCTAAACCAAGCTTGAAAGCTAACAATGAAAAAGTTAAGATTTTCATTATCCACTTGTGTTTGCAATTTCTAATCATTTCTTTTTGAAAAGTCAATTAAACAGTTATTGTAGGACTTCATAATTATCATAAAACTCCCATGATTATCTAATGCTATTGGCCAATAATACTATTATTTATCAATTTTTATTTACTGAGTAAAAAATGATAAACTATTGCAGTATTTAAGGAGTCCAGGTAGCAAAACAGGCTAAGTGTTGGGCTATGAACTAAAAAGTCATCAATTTGAAACCACCAACTATTTCTGTAGGAGGAAAAAGAGGCAGTCTCCTCCACTAAAGAGCTGTAACTTTGTAAACAAGTGGAGGGGCGCCATGGGTATAAGGTGACCATGGAAGAATTTTTTTTGTTGCTTTGTTTTTATTGAAAGATTTGATAACTGAAGGTTATGAAACTGGTTGTAAAATCAAGTTGGTGGGTTGTAATTCACATCAAAAAGAGAAAAAAAATATAGACTAGAAAGTATCAGTTTGTAGAAAAACATACTGTTTTCTGAAACTTGTTTTACGTGTGTCATGCTTTATTTGGTATGTTTTAGACATATTTTTAAGATAAAAAATTATGATAAAAATTATCAAATTATATTATTGCTAATTTTACAAGAATGGAAAGAGAAATGATATATGGAGTGAGTTCTAATATATTATTTTCTATATAATGCAAGTAGATTTATTCCCATGTTTCTATCGGTGCCTTATCCCCAAAGCCAGGTAAGTATGACTTCATACTTCATAAATGACAACAGAAAAATGACATTAAAGTCAAACCTGGAATTCTCTACAAATAGACTCTCACCTGTTGGTAATCCTTTCCCCCTCAATCGGTCTCGAATAGCCTGGCTCCGATCAGGTTTTGGGTCACTGCTTCGGGAAAGCTGGTCTGTCTGGAAGCAGGTAATAAAAAATAAAGTTTGAAAAAGAACCTTCTATTAGTTCTCATGGTACATGTCCCCAGAGTGACACTAGTTACACAAATGTGGAGGAGAGAGCATTAAGGATTAGGTAGCAAGCACATCCTAGTATAAATTTGTATTCTTGTAAAAAAAAAAAACAACACTTATGTAGGTCAGTTGGGGCCAGTCAATTTCTAGAAAGTTAAAATGTAAGAAAGTCATCAAAAAATAATCTACTGTTCTGGGAATAAAGTTTCTCAGATTCCAATAGTTTTAAAATAAATTCCATCTGGAAAGAGTAAACGATGTACTCTTTTTTAACTCCTGATTAGGAACTACTTTTATCTCAAGTTAGAATATAATTTGTAAACCACATTCTCAGATAACAAAGATTTTTCATGACTGCAACTTTGCAAAGAGGGTATTGATTTGAAATTGTGTCTTCAAAGTGGTTTCAAAACTTATTTTCCAGATTTTGCCTATCAGAAATTACAATTGAGAAATGCTGAATCTTTAAATAAAATTACTACATCAGAAGGTGAAAATTAAATTCAAATCAATATTCCTTTACAGTACAAATGTTTAGTCTTAAAGTTTTAATAACATTAGCAAAAATACTTATTTAAAAGGAAACATGTCAAATTGGTCAGACTCTAAATTCAAAGAGATGAAAAGTTAAAACACTGGGTTTATTCAGCTGACCAATTAAAGGAAAGACCTTGATAAATAACTAGAAGGGAAAAGTGACAAAAGATAAAATCTGGTACCAAGAGCATTCACACATCTTTATATTTGTATACATATTTTAATATTCCTCTATAATTAGGAGGAAATTCATTTTAGTATGTATTAAAACCTCAAGTCTAAAATAGCATACTCAAGGCTTTAGCATAATCTTTTCTACCTATAAGAAGACTTGAATGAAGGTATTTGTGGAATAATATCATCATTGAAATTTAATAAATAATTATTAGCCCAGATTGCACTCTAAGTGAAGAGAGAATATCCTGTTTCCTTGAGAGTCCCTGCAGTACTACTAAGAATCGTAAGTAATACTTATTGAGCAGTTAATACATGCCAACCACTAGCTTAAAGCACTTTACATATATTATTTTATATACTCCTCAAAACAGCCACATTTGGCAGATTATTATTATTATTCTACCATAATTGAAAGCTTCCCAATTAAAACAAGCTTGGAAGCAGGAGTGGCATCCACTTCCAAAATGGCTTGCCTCCAGAAATTCTATGAACAGTGCTCGGGTCTTTCGTTCGTAGGGTTGCTATGAGTCATCTAGGACTCAAAAACACCTAACAACAATAACAAAAATGACATAGAGAGAGCTATGCTGGCCCAGTGGACAGAAAGTTATGCTACCAAGCCCAAGGTGGATAATTTTAATCTGTGGCCATCAGATCTGGTTCAAATTGGTTTTTTGTCAAACATTCTTCTGGGTGGTATAGCACTGGTCTGTGCATTGCTGTACAGAGGTAACTCGTGGTTGCTGTCATGCTAAACACTGTGACACTGATGTGCCAACTGTGATAATTAGTACCCATGGTGGACAATGTTTGCTGGAGCTTCCCAACTAAACCAAGCCCAGAAGTAGGAGTGGCATCCACTTCTGAAATGGCTTGCCTCTATGAAACTCTATGAACAGTGCCCAGGTCTTTTCTTTGTAGGGTAGCTATGAGTTGTCTACAACTCGACGGCACCTAATAACAACACCCACCATAATACAGATACAAGGAGTGCTGGCAGTGGAGTGTAACCAAAAGGCTGGGGCTTCATATCTACCAGTAGCTCTGCAGAAGGAAAATACAGGAAGCAATTCTGTCCTATAGGATCATTATGAACTGGAATTGACTTGATGGCAACAGGCGTGATTTGGGTTTTTTGTATTACAAGTAAAAGGACAAATGGCAGGAAACATCTAAGGATCTTCAAGCAGCTCATCTATAATAAAATAATTTTTCTTTAGTAGCTCAGTAAAATGAGTGATTGACATAATTTATTATTTCTATCTTATTGTTGTAGTTAAGTACTATCAAGTCAGAACCGACCACAGCTGAGGGTTTCAGAGGTAGTAAAGCACATAGATGATTGCCCATTTTTCTCCAGTGAAGCAGCTGGTGGATTTGAACCATGTGCCTTTTAGTTAGCAGCATGACAAAATTTATGTTAAAGTTATTACAAAACATAAATCAGTGGAAAACCCAGGACAAGTAACCTGGCCTATGGCCTTTGAATCTTTGCTAATTCAGACTTATTTTCATCACATCTAAAACTAAAGGAAAAAATGCATTCCTTTTAACCTTTGGTTGTTAAAATGAATAAAAGTGATAACGCATACAAACCACTGAGGACTGTATCTGACACAAAATAAACACATACAAAATGATATTACCTGGAGCTACTTCTGTCCAGAAGACCAGAAAGAGCAATACAACCATTAACTATAATTAACTAAAAATACTATAGTATGCTAAACTAAACATGAGTCTGTGTAAATGATGAGACGGCTTTTTATACTCTGCATCCAACTGATTCTGCTATTCTTTTCTCACAATAAACAAGCCCACAGCACAACCCAATCCAGACTGATTACTAATCTACAAATTTACTCTGTTTTCTCATTGTACCTCACTAATCCTAGATCGTTTCCCTTTGCCTAGACAATGTGTTTTATCTGTCCCATACAATCTAGTTCAAATGAGTTATCTTTTCATTGAAGTATGAACTTGGATCTTTTCCTCTCAAATTGTCATAGCTTTTAAAAGACTTACTACTTTTAAAAGCCCTTATTTGTATTTTAGAGTTAAACAAATGTCAATAAATACTCAAAAAACCTCTGTTGAGGCCTGGTGGTGTAGTATGTGTTGGATTCCTAACCAGAATGTCCTCTGAATGCACCAGCCGATCTGCCGGAAGATGAGTGGTCTCCTCTCACAAAGATCTGCATCCCTGGAAACTGGACTGAGGCTTGCCATGAGTCAGCACTTATCTGCCAGCAGTTGAGCTTGGTTTTAAGCTTTTAATGAACTTAGCTGCTAAAATGGAGATCATTTATTTAGCATAGATAGGTATTAGATGGATACTTTCATAGATGAGTGTTTTCATGGAGAAATGAGGGATAAAAAAAATCCCATTTCTAACACTTTGATGATTTGAATGAAATGAACAAATAGTGCAGATGTTTCAGAATAGTCATGTTATAAAAGGCATCCTGATGGTGTAACTCTAACCAAAAGGTCAACAGTTCAAATCCAACAGCCACTCTTCTAGAAAAAGATAGGCAGTCTTTCCTCATCAAGATTTATAGCCCTTGAAAAACCTAAAGGAAATCAATCCATGGCAATGGGAGAACGGTGCAGTAGAAAGATTTCTAGATAAATGAAGACAAACCCAAATCCCACTGTTATCAAGATGAACTACTCTTCATTGAGTTTCCCAGGCTTCCCAGGGCAGACTGTCCCTCTTTCTCCCTTGGACTTAAACTGCTGGCTGACCTATTGGAGAGCAGTCCAATAGACTACACATGATGCCACCAAGGCACCAGGAAATTTAAATACTATGAACCATTTGGGCCTCCACTTCTTTGCATATAAAACAAGGATAGCAGAGAGCTCTGGTGGCCTAAAGGCAAGAAGCTACACTGCAATCCCAAAGGCCTGCTGTTTGAATCCACCAGATGCTCCGCTGGAGAAGGAGGGTCAATCTCCTCCTATGCCAGTCAGATCAGACTCAACAGGAGTGATAGGGAATGGCAAAGGATACACTGACAAAGAAGATTAATCAGAACTGGCTTTGACAAGCACTGTGGCATTTGGACAAGAACAAACTGGGAGGAGGGTAGAGAGAATAGTGCAACAATGAATGAGTGGAAGCCCAAAATCTCTGTAAATGTTTATGAAAATTAATAAAATATAATTATAGAAAAAAAAACAGTACACAATAAGAAAGGAAAAAAAAAATAAATAAAAATATTTTTAAAAATATAGTAAACGCAAACATTGCTCACAGGGAGTTCTACAGAACATTCATGTTTGGTATCTGTATAAAGGTCTCTGGGAATGAGTAAATAATGGAAAGATCTCATCTGCCTATGTAACTATTTAACAATTAATAATATAGAATAATATTTTCTAGTTTCTGGCAAGTTCTGCAGTTGAAAATACATTTCGTTTTCTTCAAGTGATTTTTTTATCAAGCTTATTCAGTCATAGATTTTTTTCTTTTTCTTTTTTAACAAAAAACATATTTAATAGTATATGGGAAATGCTGGTCACAATGTACTGCCACAGATTTTTGGTAGTATTATTTTTGGTTTTAAAACCTGTATATTGATACATAAACAAATTAATCACATAAAAGCAGAGCTGCTTAGTTGACAAAGAGCAAAGGGCAGTCAAGAACCTCATTCTTTCAGCCTGTACCACATGTGAAAACTTCTTATATTTCCCTCCATTAGTTCATCTCAAAGACTTGATGCAGTTTACAAACTCCTTGTTGGGAAGATTTCTGAGATCTGTTTCTTATCACTAGGCAAAGCATGTAGAGTTTGGCTATCCTACTGGGAGTCATAAAGCATCCAAGTTAAGCCAGTGATACTAAACCCTAGATATGAAGAACAAAAAGGAAGCCAGCAAGAACATTATATGACAGTGGCAAATATGCAGTTCACCAAAAAACGGCGATTAAGGGCATCATAACTCTAAAGAGTAAAGGCAGTTTAAACTCAGATCAGATAAACATGGGCCTCCCAACTGGGTGAATGGTATAGAAATAGCTTAAGACAAAGCTGACTATTCTTGGGATTATTTGTATGTACAGAAAGAGAAAAAAAGGAAAGAATTTGAGTCTTGGGCAATCTGGGAGGAATTCAAACATGTATCACTTTCCAGTGTTAAGAGAAAGTGGGCAGGGCTGGGAGAAGAGTAAAGGATCTAAGTGAGTGACTAAGACGTAGGAATAAAGTAACAGAAAGTATATTTAAATATTTTCATAACCCAAGTCATTGTGTGACATGGGTGAATGTTACTCAGGGTACCCACAAGAGAAAAACCACATGCCAAAAGCCCATTAGGAAAAGATTTAAAATGATGTAAGAAAGAGCAAACATTTCTAGCTCTAACTTGGAAGGATTCTGTAATATTTTCAGGAGTCAAAATCTAAAAGCAAAAACTCGCAAGGTCTAGGAAACAACAGACTTCTAAATATTAAGTACATTAGAATAAAGAATAAGAAATCCAAACTCCATTTCCCAGTCTTCGCTAAGAAACTATCTTTGTGATATTCTCCCTGAATTTTAAAACATAGTTTATATTTACCAATTGGAACTGTAGCTCACCCCAGAAAGATTTCCCAGAACCAGTTTTACCAGCTGCTTCACGTAGGAAAATGAAGGTGCACAATTGGTGTTCCTAATGTGGGCACTGCAGGCATCGAGGACGGTCCGGACAGAAACCCGAGCGTAAATGACATCCTCACACATGCCAAGCAATATGCTGTTGAGATGGTCTCCAAGCTTGATAGGCTGAATATAAAGGAAAGGAGAGTGATATTAATAAATGTAGTAAATTTTCTTGTCCACTATGAGCGAAGCCAGCAAGAATCACACGAATCACACCAAAGATCTTTCAAATATTAGCAGATATATGAACTACATATGTTGTTGTTACTGTGTGTCATCTAGTAGAAAGTGACCCACAGCTGACCCTCCCATTGGTTTTCAGAGGCAGTAACTGCACAGGAAGAGGTTGTCCATCCTTATCTCATTAACTGCATTTTATTCTTTTATGCTCCAAAATAATTAACACCAGAAGATGCAAAAGTTTTCTTTTTGAAGTAAGATAAACAAATACATTTACTGTACTGTGTTTTGACTGGGTTTTGTTGTAACCTCCAATGGCTCTGCAAGCAAGGGCCATCATGCTCGTAATAACTAGTATGGTGTCTGAAACAAGGTATGTGGTATTGCCTGCTAACTGAAAATTCCATGGTTCAAACCTGGTAGCTCCTTTGCTGGAGAAAGATGTTTCAATCTGCTTCCATAAATACTTAAAACCCTGGAAACACTAGAGGAACGTCTATTGTATTCTACAGGGTTGCTAAAAAGCTTGAAATGACTTGACAGAACTAGACCATCCAAAATTATAATCATTTTTTTATCTCAAATTACAAGTAAACATTTATATTTCCCCTTCAATTTAAATATTATTTATATAGACTTTCCAGTTACCAGAACAGAGTTCTAATTACAGTCAGTGATCACATTTTAGATATAGTTAGGCTACAAAATAGATTTGATACAAGTATTTCTAATATTATTTTCATTTTCTCCCTTTATATTTATAGAACTAAATGAGAGAAGAAAAAGAAATGTTCGGTAGTTTTTACAATGTAAAGTAATATCAAACCAAGTCCAAAAATGTCTTTTATTATTCACAGATCTTAAGATGTTTAAATTATAGAATAAATACCTCAAATGCTTGCTGCTGCTTCAGTCTAAGGTGAAATGAAATCTAATCATCTATATTATAAATTTTGTTTTAAGGTATTTTATTTTTTAAAATTATCTTATTACTATAATAGTAGAAAATAATAATTGAAAAAAACCCCACACCTCCTTAACATAATTGGAAACTGGAGTTTCATCCACTTCCTAAACAACATGCCTCTGGAAATTCTATGAACTTTGATAAATGTCCATAGTTGTAGAGGGGCCTCAGGCCTTTAGTTCATCAGGCCGCCATGAGTTGTGCTTGACATGAATGCAAGCAACAACAATTTTAGTGGATCTTTAAGATTCAATTCTTTTAGAAGATGAAATGCAAGAAGTTTTTATAAAGGCAGAAGTGGTTCAAAAATCACCACAGCCTAAAATTTCAAATTGTTAATTTCACATTTGTATCTGCTGCTATAGGGAAAGGGAGCCCTGTTGGTCTAGAGATAAGAGCTACATTGCCAACTCAAATCAAGCAGTTCAAATCCACCAGCTGCTCCACATGAGAAAGGTGGGACATTTCCTCTCATGTAAATTACAGCTGTGAGTTGGCTCCAACTTGACAGCACATAACAATAACAACTGCTACAAGGACAGGAAAAGACAATTTTAAAGTAGAAAGAGACAAAACTGATGAATTGTTCTATTGTACTAAGCAAAAGAAAACCAATTCCTGTGGTTTTGTACCAATAAAAGTATCTCATTATACAAGACTGAATTATCAAGGATATTTAGAATTCCTCTCATTATCATTTAATTAGAAGAAATAAAGTACATTCCTTTTCCCCATGACATAATTTTTAAAAACACAACTACATCTGACTGCTTTTATAAGAATATTTAAAAAATGTCTTTTGTGTTTTATTACTTCATTCTGAAATTTTGTGTTACTGATTTGAATAGCCACCTCCTTGTAGACTATATACAAATAGATTTAAGAGTTTTATAAAATGTATAAAGTTATACAACAATAAAAACTTATAGCAAACATTATTTACTTACTTGGCTCTGAGGTACTTCATGATCAGCTCCCCAGTACAATGTCATTCCAAGGGAATAAATATGGATCTAAGAACAAAATTAATTAAAGATATTACACTATGTGTAAGAAGAATTGGAATCACTGTATGTTTACAATTTTCTGTTCCAAAAAAAAAGGTTTATATATAATTTAAGAAAGGCATTATATATTTTTCATGAAAGTTCACAAGGACATCCAACAAAATATATTAATGAAACTTATTAAAAGAGATTTTTCCTCTCACCCTTGCTTCCTCCTCCATGCAAATCTCAGTCCTTTGATTTAACACCTAATAGTTTTTATTTATTCTAAAAGGAGTGGCATCCACTTCCTAAATATCATGCGTCCAAAAACTCTATAAACTTTGATAAATATTGATGGTTGCAGAGGGGTTTCAGGCCTTTTGTTCATAGGATAATGATGAATCATGCTCAACTCAAAGGCAATCAACAAACACAAAAGTTATTTATGTAAATTTAAACAGATATGAATCTGAACTGTTCATTACAAAAGGATAAAAACATTCTATTTGTTGTTATTTCATTTAATGATAAAATTTGAGCAAGAGCCTATGGTGATGAAGGAAGAAGTTCAAGCTGCTTTGAAGGAAACAGCAAAAAAATAAGGCTCCAGGAATAGATGGTATACCAATTGACATATTTCAGCTAACAGATGCTGCCCTGGATGTGCTCACCAAGTTGTGCCAAGAGATCT